GTGAGTAAAATGATTAATTTATTTTATGAAAAGGAATTATGCAATTATATTTTGTTATTTTTACTCTTATGGGCATTTTCTATTTTTTTCTACAACGACTATGAATTTAAAAAAACGAATATGAATGATTTATGTATTTCAAGCCACTTTTAAAGCCATGATTTTTCTTTTTTTAAATTTTTTAAAAAGATTTTATTTATTCATTTGACAGAGATCACAAGTAGGCAGAGAGAGGGCAGAGAGAGAGGAGGAGCAGGCTCCCTGCTGAGCAGAGAGCCCAATTCGGGGCTCGATCCTAGCACCCTGGATCATGACCTGAGCGGAAGGCAGAGGCTTTAACCCACTGAGCCACCCAGGTGCTCCATAAAGCCATGATTTTTCTTAAAAAATACTGGGGCACCTGGGTGGCTGAATCGGTTAAGGGTTGGACTCTTGGTTTTGGCTCAGGTCATAATCTCAGAGTCTTTGGATCCAGCCCTGTGTTGGGCTCCCTGCTGAGTATGGGCTCTGTTTGAGATTCTCTCTCTCTCTCTCTCTCTCTCTCTCTCTCTCTCTCTCCTTCTTCTCCTCCTCTTCTCTCTCTCTGTCTCAAATGAATAAATACATAAAAGTCTTTTTAAAAAATTAAAACATACTTAAATTTATTGAAAGCTCACTACATTTTAGGCATTGCTCTGAGCACTCTATATACATTATCTCATTTAATTCTCATAACAGTCCTCTGAGGAAGATAGCATTTTCACCCCCAGTTTATTGATGAGAAAAACCAATGCTTAAGGAAGTTGAGCAACTTGCCCAGCTTGGATGTGATACACTGTTGTAAAACTGTACACACATGGGCACATACGTAGGCAAATGAGTGCATGCAGAAATAAAGGAAATCTGAATCAGGTCTGTAGCCTAGCTAACAGTATTGGGCCTCTGTCTTTTTCCTGGTTTTGACCTTGTGCTATCTTTATGTAACATGTTACCATTGGGGGAAGGTGGATGAAAGGTGCTAGCTGAAGATCTCTTTGTATCTTTTTTTGCAACTTCATTTCTTCTTCTATAATTAGACTCTCATAAATGGTCAAAAAATTAAAGAGTTTTTTAAGAAGTAAAAGTTTTGTTTTTAAAGGCTTATTTATTTGAGGTGGGGGAGGGGCAGAAGGAGAGGGAGAGGGTTTTTTTTTTTTAAGATTTTATTTCTGTATTTGAGAGAGAGAGAACATGAGTGAGAGAAGAGTGAGTGGCAGTGGGAGGTGGGAAGGGCAGAGGGAGAAGGAGAAGCAGGTTTCCTGCATGTGGGGTTTGAGCCCAGGACCCTGGTAACATGACCTGAGCCCAAGGCAGATGTTTAACATTCTGAGCCACCCAGGTACCCCAACAAAGAGAGAGTCTTAAACAGAGTGCACACTAAGCTCAGAGCCTGACGTGGGGCTCTATCTCGTGACCGCAACATCTCCACCTGAGCCAGTCTCTTAACCAACTGCACCAGCCAGGCACCCCAAGAAGTAAAAGGTTTTTTCTTTTTTTAAGCTGTTGCAAGGATTATGTGAGATAATGTGCCCAGGACAGGGTTGGATATAATTGACATATCAATATATATTTTCTTTCTTTCCTACCCTACGAGTGACTGTTTTCCATTGTCTAGTAATAATAGCCTCCATATTATGTATACTATGTGGTAGGCTTAATTTCCATCCATTGTTTCATTTAATAAAGCCTCTGGTGGGTACTTTTATTATTCTCCTTTTGCTGATAAGAAAACTCAGGTTCCGCAAAAACTAATCTCTTCTCCACTTGCTGGAAAGTGACCAAGCCTGGATTTATACCAAGGTAGTCTGTTCATGACGCCACTCCCTTCTACTCTGGGTTGAGCTCAGAGTATTGCGTGAAAGTATGCTTTGAACCTTGGAAATCATCTACCCCAACTGTTTTAATTTATACAAAGAAAACAGGCCCAGAAAGGGGGAAGGGCTTTAGTAAGAACGCCTAATAAATCTGTGACTGAGCCAGGATGAGAACCCAGTTTTTGGATTCCTGGGTCAGGGTATTTTCCAGGGCCAACACCCAAGGCTACCTGCCCATTTGGCCTACCTTCACTGAGCCCTGCCTGGGAGACAGCTGGTGCCCACAGACAAAGCTGCAAGTTCTCACTCACATCCCTCACCAACCTGCACAGCTCACGGCACTTAGGACCCAAGAGGTAGCAGTGGACCCTGGGGACAGGGGAGGCATGGTGACCCTCTACTGCAGGCATTCTTGGGGGGCCAAGTAGTTGGGACCACAGAGAAGGCAAGGTAAGACCCTCTGAACTTTGGCAGTGGGGGTGGGAAGGGAGGCTCTATGTGTGAGGGGGTTACTCATGCCAAGTGCCTGTTCTGTCTCCCTCAGGCTCTCTTGAGTCACTTGCCCTGAGGTTGGGGCACATTCTTGAAGTGGGTGATCACAGGGATTCCAGGCCCTCCTAGGTCCTAGGCCAGTTTCTATTCCTCCTGGAGCTGAAACCAACTCCCCCCGCCCCCACCTGAGACTCAGCACCTCCTCTCCAAGTGGCAAAATAGTGACTCACTACTTTCATTTCTATCCTGGGACCTCCTTGGACTAGGGCAAATCGCTCGGCTCCAAGTCCACACCTGGGGTTGGTGGGGAGAATCAGCCCAAGTCCCATTTCCCAGGAGGGAAGGGGTCCCATGTATCTAGTGAAGGGTTTGACCCACATTCAAAAAGCACGATTATCCCTCTCTCTCCATCCTTGTTGCGCCCCCCCCCATTCCATCCCACTGGGCCAATCCAGGAAAAGTTGGAGGATTAAAGACACCACCCCCTCAGCCCTGCTCTCTCGTCATCTCTGCGCCCTGGTGGGTCCACTGGGGAAAAGGGCTGATGAGTGAACCAAGCGATCCTGTCCGCGGGGAGCAGCGCCCTCGTGTGACCTCCAGGAGAAGCGCATTTATTTTCCAGCCCCTCCCCTTCTATGCCCTCATTGAGCAAATATTTATAGAGTGCCACTAGGTGCGCTAGGGGCAGCTGTTGAAGAAGATAGGTAAAATACCTGCTCACTGAACAGTACATTCCTGTGTGTGTGTGTGTGTGTGTGTGTGTGTGTGTGTGTGTGTGGTGGGGCAGGCAATAAACGGCAAATAAATGAGGCAGATTGTAGTAGTGATAACTGCTGGGACGAAAATAAAACCGAGAACAGTGTTGGAGACACAGGGCGGGGTGGAAAAAACAAGGTCTCCTTGAGTAGGTAATGTCAACGATGACACTTAAGTTACTGGGACCCAGTCATGTGACGATCTGGGGCAAAAGCTTTCCTTGCAGAGAGAAGAGCTACAGCGAAGACCCCCAGGCAGCTACATGCTTTGCATGACAAAGACCAATGCAGCAGGAAAGGAGTGGGCAAGGGACAGTTGTAGGAGATGTGGACATAGGGATAGGGCCAGACTGTAGATCTTACACGTCATGACAGAGTTTGCCTTTTCTTCTAGGAGTAATGGGAATGTTTTGGGTGAGTTCTGAGAAAAGGAATGTAGCTTGATTACCTTTTATTTTTTTTTTTAAAGCTTATTGCTTTTTTTTTTTTTTTTAAGATTTTATTTATCTGTCAGAGAGAGAGAGTACACACAACCAGGCAGAGAGGCAGGCAGAGAGAGAGGAGGAAGCAGGCTCCCTGCCGAGCAAGGAGCCCAATGCGGGACTCGATCCCAGGACCCCAGGATCATGACCTGAGCCGAAGGCAGTGGCCCAACCCACTGAGCCACCCAGGCGTCCCGCTTGATTACCTTTTAAAAGGATCTCTATGGGGACGCCTGGGTGGCTCAGTTGGTTAAGCAGCTGCCTTCGGCTCAGGTCATGATCCCAGCGTCCTGGGATCGAGTCCCACATCGGGCTCCTTGCTCATCAGGGAGCCTGCTTCTCCCTCTGCCTCTGCCTGCCATTCTGTCTGCCTGTGATTGCTCTCTCTCCCTCTCTCTCTCTCTGACAAATAAATAAATAAAATCTTAAAAAAAAAAAAAAAAAAGGATCTCTATGGCTGCTATGTGGATTAAGAACCTTGGGCAAGGAAGGAAGAGTGGAAGCAGGGAGATGATTCCAAGAGATTAGAAAGCTATTGAAATAATTCAGGTGAGACAGGATGGAGGCTTGGAACAGAGTGGAAGTGTGGGAGGCGGGGGAGATGTGGTTGGATGCTGGGTTTACTTTGAAGGTAGAGCCAACAGGACTTGCTAATAGACCACATTCTCCTTTGTTCTTTGGGCTCCAGGAACTCCTTCATACACACACCCTTGCTGGCGCCTCTGTCCTTACTCCCAGGCTGAGTTAGAAGGGCAGACCCCAGGGACACTGCTAAATTGGAAAGTTTCCAGGTGTGGTCAGACAAAGGAATTTAAGCCTCAGCCACTGTGTTCTCCTTGCAATGCCACCTTAGCCCATTTAATGGGCTGGGACTCTGCCTGGTGTCTCCCTTATAGTAGCCTGGCTTCTCTAAGAGAAGCCAGTTACTTATAACTGTTACTTCTGTAACAGACCTAGTTACTTATTAGGTCTCTGTTTATCCAAATGGGTGCCTTTAGGGTGTATTGGTGACACTCAAAACAGTCCTGAGGGTTGGTGTTTGTATTTGATACAGAGTAGGGGGCTGGATAATCTGAGGGTCCCAGTCCTCAGACCTGGGCCAGTGACTTACTCCTGTTAATTTACACAAAACACAGTGCAGTCCAACCTCATAGAAAACACACACAACATTTTGGCCCCAGGCTGGGTATTTCTGAAGAGCCTGGGAAAGATCAGGTTAGCCTTACAAATGCTTGCAGGCAGCCAGGGCTGGGGAGAACAAGTGGGAAAGGGAATGATCCAGTTGGCTCTGGAGTCAGCAAGCCTTGCTCTGTTTGCATTGTGCTGCTCGTGTGTTTGTGGAGGGGGGTGTGCATTATAAATGCAGCCAGCTGGAGGGCCTCTGGATTCAAAACCTAGAACTGCACTGCTCCCTAAGAGTCTGTGCAGGCCTCTCCAAGATGAAGCTACCAGGCCAGGAGGAGTTTGAGGTCTCCAGTGCTTGTGAAAATGTGCCCACAGGAGAGCTGGACAATGGCACTGCCTCTGGCTCCAGCCCCGACAGCCCCTCAGACACAGACAGAGGGGAGTTGGGGGTACCCAAGGACCCTCTGCTCTTCATTCAGCTGAATGAGCTTCTGGGCTGGCCCCAGGCCCTGGAGTGGAGAGAGACGGGCAGGTGAGTCGGACCCAGGGCAGTTTTATGGGTTCTTTCCCTTTCCCCAGCTGGGGACTCCTCCACGACCCATAGCTCCTCCTGTGTGAGGAGGTGCTCTAACCCCCAATCAGGAGTTCCTCTCTGTGAGTTCAGGCCCTCACCCTTCATGATGCTTGGCTTTCAATGCAGTGTACTTGTGAGTTCCCCAAAACCCCAGGTGAGGGGTGAATGCCCAGGAAGAGGCATACTTTGCACCACTGGGCCCAGGACTCCCCCATGGACCTACCTTCCCTGCCTCTCCTGTGTGCTCCCTCCTGCACCTGGGAGAGATGGCCCCAATAACAGTCCACTCCTCTCCACTGCAGGTGGGTGCTGTTTGAGGAGAAGCTGGAGGTGGGTGCGGGCCGGTGGAGTGTTCCTCACGTGCCCACACTGGCACTGCCCAGCCTTCGGAAGCTCCGCATCCTACTGGCCGAGGGCCTTGTGCTGCTGGACTGTCCAGCTCAGAGCTTCCTGGAGCTCGTGGGTACGTGGGGAGCCTTTGCAGGGAGGGCCTGGGCAACTATGCCATTTCGCCAGGACTACCCCTGAAAATCTCATAACTTTCCAGAGCTCACCCCACCCCACCCTAGGGATTAGCCTTCTCCATCACTGTCGGGGGTAGAGGGTGGGGATGGAAGAATAGAATAGAGGAGCAAGTTCCCAGAATGGAAAGGGACTTGGGCAGAGGAGAAAGGGGAAGAGTTTTGGGGCAGGGAGCTCTCAGGAAAGGGTTGGAGCTCCTCCTCTGTTCTTCAGAACAGGTGACCAGAGTGGACTCGCTGAGCCCAGAGCTGAGAGGGCAGCTGCAGGCCTTGCTGCTGCAGAGACCCCAGCACCTCATCCAGCCCACAGGCACCAGGCCCTGCCAGGGTGAGAGGCCTGTCTTTGGGCCCAGCACCAAAAGCCCTAATCCCCCTGCCCCCTTCTTGGACCAATACCAGCCTAGCCTTGGCTTATACCTCAACTCGGGTCTCATGGGTGAGAAGAAGTGGAGGTAATGGTGAGGGGAGAGAGAATGGAGGGGCCAGAGTTCTGGGAAGGAATGTTGTTGGTAGGCATTGTGCCAGGAGTTTTATGTGTAGTATCTCATTTAATCTTCACAGCCATCATGTGAGATAGTACCGTAATTAGCCCCATTTTAGTGATAAGAAAGCTGAGGCTCAGAGAGGGGAAGCTCCAGTTTTCATCGTTTGTCAGAGGTAAAGCTTGTCAGGAAGCCTAGCTGCCTCCACCTCCAAAGCCCGTGCTCTTAGTCACTGCCTAATCCTGTTTTGAAGGGTCTGCCCATCCAAGAGAGGCTTCTCACAGTGAGGAAGCCCCACTGAAGGAACAGGTTTGTGGCCCTTCCTTGGGCAGGGCTGGGAGAGGGGTCAGGGATGAACAGAAGTTCACCCTCCACTTGCCTCATTATCTATCAATATTTTGCCAACACCCACCTCCTCAAATGAGCTCTTGTCCTTCGTGTCTCCTTGAACCCCCAACCAGCATCAGAACCCCCTGAGATGGAAGCTGCCTCCAGGGGCTGAGGCTGGGGCTGTGCTGGCAGGGGAGTTGGGCTTCCTGGTGCAGCCCCTGGGGGCCTTTGTGCGACTGCGGGATCCAGTGGTGCTGGGACCCCTCACTGAGGTTCCCCTCCCCAGCAGGTAAGGCTGATGAGAGTGGAGGGTTCTGGAGACCAGAAAAGGGATCTTTACTGGGGAGGGGATTGGGAGGTCTCTGGTCCAGTTCTTTTGGAGGTGAGTGCAGGATGGTGCTTGGGGGTCTGTGGAGGGGGTAGTGGTCAGGGCTGCAAAGTAGGTGTGCACATGAGTGTACATATGGGGGCTGGTAGCAAGGGCAGAGATCAGGGCTGCCATATGGGATAGCTGCCTCTGATATTTCTGGGGCCTGGTTCCTTCTTCAGATTTTTCTGCCTCTTCCTTGGTCCTTCTACACTGGGAAAGGGCTACCATGAGATGGGCCGAGCAATGGCCGTCCTCCTCAGTGACCCGGTGAGCTGGGCAGGTGTGTGTGAGTATGTGTGTGTGCACGTGCCCACACAGACTTGTGTCAGTGAGTGTGCACGTGTGAACTCTAGATGTATGACAGAATACAGCAGTGAGGCAGAGTATGGCCTTGTGTCCATAGAATGAGGACTGAAGTTTCCTTTGCTACTGCTGGAGTCCCCTTATCTAGCACAGTGCTGGCACACAGTAGGCAGCCAACAGGTACTGACTGCATGCATGTGTCAATGAATGAATGCTTGAGACGTGTCCGCCTATCTGACTTGGGTCTAGCTTAGAGACTGTGAAAATGCACGTAAGGGTCCAGATCTCCATTTAGGGCCCCTCTGTGCCCCTATCCCTAGCAATTCCAGTGGTCAGTTCGTCGGGCCAGCAACCTTCACGACATTCTGGCAGCCTTGGATGCCTTCCTAGAGGAGGTGACAGTGCTCCCTCCAGGTCGGTGGGACCCGACAGCCCGGATTGCCCCACCTAAATGTCTGCCTTCCCAGCACAAAAGGTATGGGGGTGGGGGGACTTCCCACTGTGGAGGAGGGTAGGGGATTCCAGGAAAGGGGTAGAAAGTCATCTTTGGATTCCAAGCCTGCTGGCAGAGACACGAGCAGCCACCAGGGGGCAGGGTGCCCAGTCATGTCGGGTTGGAGATCCTCAGGCAACCTGAGTTCCCATTCTCTCCAGGATTCTCTCACAACTGAGGGAGGTCCAGGGCCCCTCTGCCCAGCATGGGGCCCTGGCTGAGGACAGGTATGGCCACCGGCTACAGCTGCGCAGCCCAGAGTTACAGCGGACAGGCAGGTGAGGTGAGCTGGGGTGAGAGCAAGGGTAAGCGTCCTGGGAGGGGTCGGGGTCACAGGGGCCTAGAGGCATATGCTCACTGTGGAGGGGCTCACCCAATCCCAGGAAAAGTAGCAGGGATGGGGCATGGGATGGGGCCACCCGGGTCACTGACAAACCATGGGTGGGAGGCTGTTTGGGGGCCTTATCCAGGATGTGCGCCGGAAGGCCTCATGGTACCCCAGCGACTTCTTGGACGCGTTACATCCCCAGTGCTTCTCGGCCGTGCTCTACATTTACTTGGCCACTGTCACTAATGCCATCACTTTTGGGGGACTGCTGGGGGAAGCCACCAGTGGTGCTCAGGTGAGTGGGGAGGCGTGAGGGGCAGGCATAAGTTGTGGTATTCTGCCAGCCATGCCCTTTAACCCTCCCTGGGACGATGGGTGGGCTTCCCTGGAAACTTGGGTTGCTGTGCTGAGGACTCCAGTGTCCTGGGCGGACGGGGCTCCCTGCTGGCTTCTAGGGGGTGCTGGAAAGTTTCCTGGGCACTGCAGTGGCTGGAGCTGCCTTTTGCCTGATGGCTGGCCAGCCCCTCACCATCCTCAGCAGCACAGGGCCAGTGCTGGTCTTCGAGCGCCTGCTCTTCTCCTTCAGTAGGTAGGAGAATACCCCAACTGTCACCAGACCCCAACAAGCCACACTCTCAGCCTGGTCCTGGCTGGGTCAGTAGGGGAGGGTGGAAACTGTCTGGCTCCAGGGGCACTTAACCTGGGTTAAGTGGAGAGCAGAGCAGCTCTGCCAATTCCTGTCTGTGTTACCCCTCCCACCCCCACCAGAGATTACAACCTGGACTACCTACCTTTCCGCCTGTGGGTGGGCATCTGGGTGGCCACATTTTGCCTGGCACTGGTGGCCACAGAGGCCAGCGTGCTGGTACGCTACTTTACCCGCTTCACCGAAGAAGGCTTCTGTGCCCTCATCAGCCTCATCTTCATCTACGATGCTGTGGGCAAAATGCTGAGCTTGACCAGTGCCTATCCCATCCAGAGCCCTGGGTATCCTGCCTATGGCTGCTTTTGCCAGTACACAGACCTGGGAGGTGGGTGAGGGAAACAGGGAGTTTGGCAAGATGGGGAAGGATGCAGGAGGGGGAGGGGTTGTCTTCTTGCTGTACCCCCTTGTTAAGTTCAGCAGACTCCTGAATACTTACCCAAAAACCAGCAGCACTTTTCCCCACTCTGGTTTTGAATCAATTGAGAAGTAACAGAGCAGGCCCAATATTTTCTTTCTGACAATGCCGATTGAAGAACATGCTTACATCTATGGAGGAATGGGCTTCCTAACAATGAAACCAACATTAGATAGGTTTACGCACTCAGTCATGGCTGCACTGGACAGGGACTGTCTTGCCCCAAAGGAGCAGAGCTAAATGCATGCACAGTGCAGGCAGCTTATTCCCAAGAGTGAGGAGAGGAGGGAACAGAGAGAGGCATGCCCGGCTTCTTCTCTCAAACTCACAAGTCAAACAAATCGCTGCTCTTTCCCCAGTCTGAGTGACCAACTCAGGGGGAGAGTGGCCCAGCATATTACTCTGGCACAAATACCTCCATGTGGAAGGAAACAGCAGGGATGGAGACAAGATGTCCTCTCAAGTGTGCCAGACTCTGCTGGGCATGAACAAAACCAGTTCTTGTCCTGGTAGAAACCCATAGATGGTGGTGGACTCCTCCATTAAGCAAACATTTGCTAGGTGTCCTCTATGGCCAGTCCTGTGCTGGGTACCAGGGATACAGATAGGTGAGGAATTTCAAAGGACCAGGCAACGTTCTGAGGAGCACAGACTTGGTATCGATTGGAATCAGCAGACAGATGAGTCAGAACTAAACTTTCTGGTTCACTTGGCCCATGAGATTAGACTTCTGAGGGGCTGGAGAAGGTTCTCAGGGGAGGGGCATATACCCAAATTGTTCTCTGCTTCCCAGGAAATGAGTCTCAGTGGATGAGGACAGAGCCAAAAGACAGAGATGACATCTCAAGTCTGGTGAGGGCCTGTTCCAGGGGGCAGGGGGGCAGGAGAGAAAGGCTGGGAGCCAAAGAAGTCAGTGGTTCCTGGCTTTTCCCACCCCATAGGCTAGGCAAACCTCAAAGGTCATAGAGGCCCAGACCTGTGCTTTGGCTGGAGACCTCTTATCCTGGGCCCCTCCTGTCTGAGTGAGCGTCAATTTTTATCCCAATTCCTATAACCTCATCCCTGACAAGACCCTCCATACAGGACCTAGGCTTGGTCAATGCCTCCTTGCTGCCCCCACCTGAGTGTGCCCGGCGGGGAGGCCGCCCTCGTGGCCCCAGCTGTCATGCAGTCCCAGACATCGCCTTCTTCTCCCTCCTCCTCTTTCTTACCTCCTTCCTCTTGGCCATGGCCCTCAAGCATGTAAAGACAAGCCGCTTCTTCCCCTCTGTGGTGAGTGTTACCTCTCTTTTTGTGGGTCCTGTATGTGCGGGAAAGGGTGAAGAAGGAAGGGGGTGGCGGGCCTGAATCTGACTGAGTATTCACTGTGTGGCCAGGTGCGCAAAGTGCTCGGTGACTTCTCCTCAGTCCTGGCCATGCTGCTGGGCTGTGGCCTTGATTCCTTCCTGGGTCTGGCCACACCAAAGCTCACGGTGCCCAGTGAGTTCAAGGTGAGAGCTGGGAGTATAAGACAGAGGGGAAAGCAGGGCCAGCAGACAGGACCTTGGAGGAGGAAATGCATAGATCCCATGCTTCTCTTCCTCTGAGCTTCCATTTCCTTGCTTATAAAATAGAAAGGGTAATGATAATGACCTCACAGAGTTGCTGTGAGGATTAATGAGGCACTGCTGCTGACACAGTGGGACAGAATACATGGCAGCTATTATTATAAATGAAGGGTTAAGAGGGTGGGTTCTCCTCAGCCAGTCCTGGGTTTGAGATCCTGTTCTGCCACTTCCTAGCTGTACAACCTTAGGCAAATTAACTCACATCTCTCATCAATGAGCCTCAATTTATGCATCTATAAAATGGAAATAATAAATAACAATGGCTCCTACTCTATAAGTTGTCTTGAGCTTCACAGAAGATGAGTGTAAAGCATTTTACCACAGTGCAGGGACGGGCACATACCAAGACCTTAATAAATGTTACTTATTGTTGTCATAGGTTGGCCCTACCCACTCCACTACTCCCCACTCTCTTCTTTGCCCCCCCCCCCCCAGGTGCCGGCTCTGATCTGGTAAAGCTGGAGCTCCCTACCAAGGGCACAGGACAATGCACAGGACAAGGCTTAGAACTGACTTAGCACTTAGACTTTGCCTGTGCATTTGGAGACCTCCTCTCCAGGTTCCCCCAGGACAGGAGAACAGGGGGACTCCAACTGGGGTAGCCTCAGGGGCTCAGAATCTGAGCTGGCAACTGGGGTCCCCTCCCCGACAGAGACGCTTATAATCAGAGCAGACGCAGACACACCCAGCCCTGCCCGGGCCCCAGATCAAGGCAGGTCTGAGCCTGAGTCGCTCCACCCTGGTTGGGGGGCGGGGATAGTTCCTAGGGAGGAGGGTGCTGTACATCAAGTAGTGTGGGCAGGTCTCACCCTCGATCTCCTCCTCTTGCAGGGCAGGAAGGCCCCTGAGAACCCAAGTGCAGAGCCCCCGGCTCCAGCCCAACCCTTAGGGTGGTCCCGCTCCTACTGCCCTCTTTTAAGACACTGGGAGGCTTTGAACCAGCTGTGCATACACATAATGCTCCTACCTACCATCTTGGTCTTAGAATGGGGGCTAATGGAAGAATGCCAACGCTGGGGTGTACAGATGAGGTACTCTTGGGAGACCCTCTCTAACTTGTCTGTGGAACACCCTCTCCCAGCCCACACTCCCCGGGCGTGGCTGGCTGGTATCACCTTTTGGAACCAACCCCTGGTGGCTGAGTGTGGCAGCAGCCTTACCTGCCCTGCTGCTGTCTATCCTCATCTTCATGGACCAGCAGATCACAGCGGTCATCCTTAACCGTGCTGAATATAAGCTGCGGGTAAGGCCTGCCGGGTGAGACCTAGGCCCCTAGCCCAAGGGACAGAAACTCCAGGATGGGGTCCAGGACCTCCCTCTCCCACTCCAGAGGGCAGAGAGCCCAGGTCTGGTTTAGTTTCTCCCTCAATGCTCCACCACTACATGCAGAAGGGCGCTGGCTTCCACCTGGATCTCTTCTGTGTGGCTGTGCTGATGGTGCTCACGTCAGCGCTGGGACTCCCCTGGTATGTCTCGGCCACGGTCATCTCCCTGGCCCACATGGACAGTCTTCGGAGAGAAAGCAGAGCCTGTGCCCTGGGGGAGCCCCGCAGCTTCCTGGGTATCAGGTGAGGCCAGTATTCAGGAGGCGAGAGTGAGAGGTGGTCAGTAAGGTGATATGGTGGGAAATGAAGCAGTTATCCGGATAGCTTAAATTCGAAGCTGGTGACTCCAGAGGGCTCTCACTGCTCGTGAACACTGCAGTGGGGTGAATAGAGGGGTTCTGGGCTGAGACGGGTGTGTCAGATCTTCCCCCATTCTCCTTCAGCCATGGGATAGGAAGGGCCCTTGAGAGGATCCTCGGGGCTGTGAAGGCAGAGGCAGCCAGGGCTGGGTGAGGCCCGCTAATTCCCCCTCCCCTCAGCGTTGGAGTACCTCATTGATATTACAGAGTTACCATCACAAAAACAATTTGTAACTACTGGAAACACAATGTGTGGAAAGTATGCAAAAATAACTTTGAAACCGGGAAAGAAAAGTTTTTATGGCCTGTAAAAACTGCTAACTTCCAATCAAAATCAAAATAAAAAACCTATGAGCTTGAGCAGATGGAGAGGCCTGGGACACCCGAACTGAAGTGCCCTGCCTGTTCCTCTCCACCAGTTTTGCACACCGTGCCTAGGTGACTGCCAGGGCGGGGGTGGGGGTGGGGTCCCTCTACTTCCCTCCTGCCAGTGCCTCTAGTAGTATCTGGTCCATGTCTCTGGGCCTGGCACCTTGGGGGCTCCCCCAGACCCCAGCTAACCCTTCCCTCTCCGCACAGGGAGCAGAGGCTGACAGGCCTGGTGGTGTTCATCCTCACAGGAACTTCAATCTTCCTGGCACCTGTACTCAAGGTACCTTTGTTAGGCTGGTGTCGGGGATTGGGGGGGGCAGTGCAGGCAGGGCAGCACTAATAATAAATAAAGCAAGAACCGACACTGGCTAAATACTTACTGGGCACCAGGCACTGCGTTGTTTTCTCCACAGTGGGCCTCATCTGGTCCTCACATGAATCCTGAGAGACATCCGTACTTCACAAATGAGGAAGCTGAAGGTTGAAGAGGTTGAGTAGCTTACAAAAGATCACCAAGGGAGCTAGTTTCTCAGGTCCATCCAAGAACTCAACCTCTTACCCAGGGGCTTTCTACCTAGTGGAGCAGGGTGTGGGCATGCCTCCATCCTCTGTGGCCCAAGTGGGATGGTACCCTGGCTCCAGCCTCCCAACTGACCTTAAACGGAGAGTGTGATCATCACACCCCAGAAAAACCTTGAGGCAAAACCCCTTCCCTTCTCTCCTACCAGGTATTTGTAGAATACCTACCATGTGCAAGGCTCTGCTAGACACTTGGGAGAAGGGGGCAGTGCACAGGAAGGGGCAGGAGTATTGAAAAGAGATACAGAGCCAAGCCCCTATTAGCAACATACACACGTGAACAAAAATTAAGTAACACGTAATCACAGAAATGTTCAACAAGCCAAGGCAGCAAAGCAATCGAGGGCATGGAGAATGGCATACAAGAGTCATTAGTGAGGAGAGGTTTGGGGAGGGAAAGGTCATGGAGCTGGGTGAGAGCGGAGTAGTTGAAAGAGCCAGATGGACCAGATCAACTGCTTACTACCTAGGTGACTCTCATTCAGCAGATATTTACTGAGCATAAACCATATGCCAGGCACTGTTCCAAAGACTGGGGATAACAGTAGTGATCAAAACAGACCATCCACTGCTTGCAGTCTGGTGAGAAGAGACCCATGAAAAAAAAATTAATAAAATAGGATGATTTCAGATAGTGACTACTCCTAAAGAAAAGTATAAGAGGGTAAGGTGATTAAGAGTACAAGGGGTCTACTTTAGATTGACAGGTCACACCCTCCTGGGGTGTCAAGAGATGAGTAGTGAGCAGCCTGAGTAGCGAGAAGAAAGTCAAGGAAGGGCATTTTAGGTGGAGGGAAATAGCAAAGCAAAGCAAAGGGCTTGCAAGGGGGAGAAACAAACTTGGGCATGAAGAGGGAAGGAAAGGAAGCCATAGAGCAGGAACAGAGAGAGCAGAGAAAAACATGATAGATAAAACTGGAGAAGTAGGCCAGATAGTAGAGAAGTTCGCTTAGACTCTCTGAAATCCAATTCCCCCTTTTGTAAAATGGAGACAGTTACAGAATTTAGCTCCTCTGACTGTCTTGAAGATTCAGTATCAGGCATGCAAAGTCAGAAAAGAACAGAAAGAGCTGGGTAGGCTTAGATGTGGATGTTGGAGGCTGGGGTTAGAGCCTAAGTGGGGGTGGGGGGCATCTGGGCAGCTAGCAGAAGTGAAATCCTTTGCCAGCTCTCTGCTTCTTCCTACCAGTTCATCCCAATGCCTGTGCTCTATGGCATCTTCTTGTACATGGGGGTGGCAGCAATTAGCAGCATTCAGGTGAGCCCATTATATGTACCATGCAATCCCACTCTTCCTCTTGTTTCCTGCTGCTACCTCCTGCCTATACTTGCCAAGTCCTCTCCTATCCTCTTTTCCGGACTCTTCTGGGCATAGGACTCTGCTGCCCTGCTCTGAATGGGGAGGGTGCCAAGGGAGTCTTCTGGCTTCCCCCTCATGCTAGGCTTGGATAGCTAATAGTGACACCCCCCAGGCTGAGTATCCGGCTTTCCTCTTCCTCTTGTTCCCCTAGTTCACAAAGAGGATACAGCTATTACTGATGCCAGCAAAACAACAGCCAGACCTCCTGCTCTTGCGGCATGTACCTTTGAGCAGGGTCCACCTCTTCACAGCCATCCAGCTTGCCTGCCTGGCTCTGCTTTGGATAATCAAGTCTACCCCTGCAGCCATCATCTTCCCCCTCATGGTGACTTGGGGCTGGGTTGGGTAGTGTCCCAGGGATCCGGGGAGACTCTGAGTCTGTGAGGGTGGCCAAAGCCTCCACAGGAGGAAGATTCTCCCCTTCTCACTTGCCCTGGCTCTGCCTGGTTGGGACTCTTAGGACAGAGAAAGATAGTTGAGAGATACCCACAGATAGGCTAACCCTGGGACACCATTTCCAACCTCTTTGGGTTCAACCACTGACAGAGATACGAAGTAAAAAGAAAAAAAAAAAAAAAAACACCACAAACTGAGTCCCTGGGAGAGGCAATACTGGCACTTCTGTTACTCAGTGAAGAGATGACACTGGTGGTTTCTGGTCTTATCCTTACTCCCCTAGGAAGAACCCTTCCTAGTAGGGCCAATCTGATTACCATATCCCGGCTGTGTGGCTTCTGGAAAGGTTTTTTTTTTTTTCTTTTTAAGTTTAAAAAGATTTTATTTATTTGACAGCGGGGGAGGGGAATACAAGCAGGGGGAGTGGGAGAGGGAGAAGCAAACTCCTCGCTAAGCAGGGATCCCAAGGTGGGGCTTGATCCTAGGACCCTGGGATCATAACCCAAGCCGAAGGCAAATGCCTAACAACTGAGCCACCCAGGCACCCCTTCTGGGAAGTTTCTAAACTCTCAGGGCCTCAGTTTCTTTCTCCATACAATGGGAACAATTATATCTATCTCGTAGGAATGTGTCAGCATTAAGTGAAGCAATACACAATGCATAGGAGATAGGAAGTGCTCAATGCATGCTACTGCTGCTCATGTTTCACTGCTTTCGCTGACAGTCCTGGGCCTTGTTTCTAACCCTGCAGTTGCTGGGCCTGGTGGGGGTCCGAAAGGCACTGGAGAGGGTCTTCTCACCGCAGGAACTCCTTTGGCTGGATGAACTGATGCCAGAGAAGGAAAGGAGCATCCCTGAGAAAGGGCTGGAGCCAGAATATTCACTCAGTGGTGACAGTGAAGATGTGAGCCCCAGATGGGCCCTCTCAGGAGAAGTGGGCAGGGGTGGGGAGAGCCCTTTTGTCCAGGAGTCATCCCTAAAGTCTAATCTTTCTATTAAGCCTGAAGATCTGATCAACACAATCATTCCCCTTAGGTCCTCACTGACACAGGTACACTGAAAGGGTCAGGGAAATCTATCTTTAGAGGGAAGGGGCCCTGGTTTATGAGTCCGTGGGGGTGGAAAGATCTGGGGACAGCTCTGGTGGTCTTTTCCAACCATGATCTTTGTCTCAGTGTGGGTGTATATCCTTTCACTTTCTGGGTCCCTTTCTCTCTGCTCTGTCTATTCCCAACTCATCTTGGGATCTTTCTTTTGCAGTCAGAGCTAATGTATCAGCCGAGGGCTCCAGAAATTAATATCTCTGTGAATTAGCTGGAGTAGGAGTTTGGCAGTAGAGACTCCAGGAACCTGAGCATGAGGTAAGGATATGAAGGAAGTGCCCCTGGGGTCGAGTATGGGAACGTGGGGGTCAGACCTTGGAAACCTCCAGCGTACTGGAGGTTTCTCTTCACGTTGCAGTTCCTCTTAAACTCCAAAGTAAGGGAGGGAAGAATGAAATAAGGGAGGGTACCTGGGCTTGGCTACCTGTGGCACTGAAGTCTGGCCAGTAGAGGGAGCTCAAGCTCACGCCAAATTGGATGTAGAGCTGCAGGGCTGGGGAGGAAGGGGTATAATGACCAAAGTAGGGTAGGGAGTGGGGAGGAAACCAAGTAAGGGTACAGCTCCCTGCTGCTTTCCTTTGCCCTGGAGGCCACTCCCTTAGGCTTCTGAGAACCACATTCCAGACAAGTGGAGGGATTCTTTGCCATTCCTTCCATTTTTTTTCATCCATTTATCAAAACTGTTTATGAGTACTATACTTAAGGAGTATCTAGATACCAGAGATATAGCGGTGAGTAGGATAATCATGGTCCCTGACCTCATCAGTTTAAAATCTACCAGGAAAGACCAACAGGGAGTTGCTGGAGTGGGATGGTGTTGGCTAAGGCAAGCACCAGCTGTGGGAGCAGAGAGGCCTCTAAACCCTTCTTGGAGGTGGTGAGGGTGGGGTGGTGGGAGCTGGAGAAGAGGAAATGGTCCATAACTTGAAATTTGAAGAAAAATGAAGAATGGCCAGAATAAGGTGGAGGGAAATGTTCTAGGCAGAGGGTGCAGCATGTGCAAAAGCCTGCTGTTTTTTCCTCCTTGATAAGCTGAATTCTCTTCTGGGCCACAGAAACCCTTCCATCCATGCCTTTCCAAGCTCAAGGGCCCAAGAAGCCCCAACACTTGCAATGGAAAATTCTAGAGGGCAATTCAGCAGCTATCCCAGAACAAGATCTGCTGGGCTTTCCATATCCCCTATAGCTCCTTTGCACTATTCTTTGATCTACTGTGCCCTTGAGTACTTACTCTGACCCCACTGTCTTCTCTCAGTTCACAGGTGTTACTCGGAAGTCTGGATATTGTTGGCTTTTGGCTTAACTGCCAGATATTCAGTTGACTGGAACCAGTGGGGCAGGACTGGAGGGCAGCTGGCCAAGATTTCCATTACCCTCCTGAGCAGGGCCTAGAGAGTGGCAGGGATGGGGCACCTGGGTGGCTCAGTAGGTTAAGCAGCTGCCTTCGGCTCAGGTCATGATCCCAGGGTCCTGGGATCGAGCCCCAAATTGGGCTTTCTGCTTAGTGGGGAGCCTGCTTCTCCCTCTCCCTTTGCCTACCGCTCTGCCTACTTGCACGCGCGCATCTCTCTCTCTGTCAAATAAATAAAATCTTAAAAAAAGGAGAGAGAATGGCAGGGAAAACGCAGGTTTGCTGGTAACCCTGGGGGACTGACCATACCCCATTCATCCTCTACCCCATTAAAGGGACCTGGAAACCCTTCCCAATTTGAACTTTCTGTCCTCACAAATTCTTTTACAGAATCGGGGGTCTCTGGTGAACTCTTTTCGGTTTGCAAAAGGGGGAAAAAATCTTTCCCAGAAAAATTATTCCTCTATTTAAAAGTTTTTTATACAGGGCGCCTGGGTGGCTCAGTTGGTTAAGCAACTGATTTCCGCTCAGGTCATGATCCTGAAATCTCAGGATCAAGTCCCACATTGGGCTCCCAGCTCTGCAGGGAGTCTGCTTCTCCCTCTGACTTCCCCTCTCATGCTCTCGCTCTCTCTCATTCTTTCTCAAATAAATAAATAAAATCTTTTAAAAAAAGTTTTTTATACATATGAAAACAATCCTTTTTTTTTTTTAATTATAAAAGCAAATGATGGGGCGCCTGGGTGGCTCGGTGGGTTAAGCCTCTGCCTTCAGCTCAGGTCATGGTCCCAGGGTCTTGGGATCAAGCCCCGCATTGGGCTCTCTGCTCAGTGGGGAGCCTGCTCCCCTGCCACCGCCTGCCTCTCTGCCTACTTGTGGTCTCTGTCTGTCAAATAAATAAATAAAATCTTAAAAAAAATAAATGAGATTAGTGCAAAATATTAAAACACTACAGAAATAAATAATTTTGAAATGAAAACCATACCAGTGATGATCAGTGTCCAAATTTCAGTGTATATTGTTCAAATTTATTTCAAGGGACATGTTAATATTTTCATTAAAATGAGATTATACATTGAGTTCTACAACATGCTTTTCACTTGATATGCGTTGAATATTTTCCCCATGCCAATACACATCTACATTTCTTTTTTGTAATCTGCATAGAGTGAACAACCTAATAATCTAAAAAGGTACCGTATGTACAAAAGAGTATATAAAATGTCTTCTGGAATTACAAGAATTTCTTGAAAGCATACACCTCGGAATGAAATTAAAGAGTCACTTAAAAGAGAACACTTGTGTATGTCAGTTCATCTATGAATTCTAAAGTTAAAAATTATATATATATATTTTTTAAAGATTTTATTTATTTATTAGAGAGAGAGAGAGAGATCACAAGTAGGCAGAGAGGCAGGAAGAGAGAGAGAGGGGAAGCAGGCTCCCTGCTGAACAGAGAGCCTGATGCGGGGCTCGATCCCAGGACCCTGGAATCATGACCCGAGCCAAAGGCAGAGGCTTTAACCCACTGAGCCACCCAGGCGCCCCATAAAGTTAAAAATTCTATTTAATCTAGTATTTTAGTTGTTTTAGTTAGGAAGGTTGTTCAGGAATTTTAACCTATACGATGCCAGAAGTGGAAATTCTTTTTTATTTTATAACATTTTATTTTTAGGTAATCTCTACATACAACGTGGGGCTCAAACTCATGACCCTGAGATCAAGTGCTATTTGCTCCACCAATTGAGCCAACCAGGTGCCCCAGAAGTGGAAATTCTGACAGGTCTTTTTAATGTTTTAAAGAAGGATCCTAGGGGTACCTGGGTGGCTCAGTTGGTTAAGCCTCTGACCCTTGATTTTGGCCCAGGTCATGATCTCAGGGTTGTGAGAGCCTGGAGTCAGTCTCCATGCTCAGAGGGGAGTCTGCTGGAGATTCTCTCTCTCCCTCTGCCCCTCCCCTACCCCCGTTCTCTCTCATAAATAAATAAATCTTTAAAGAAGGCTCTGAAAATTATAGTCTAAGTATCTATTGATTGAGAGAAATATATGCTAGAAGTATAATTTAAACTTAGATAATTATATATTTTACCCATTTCAGCAGCATCTACATATTGTTGAAAACATCTTCGTTTACTCTTATTTAAACATTGAACAAATACTTAGTGACTATCACAATGTCCTGTCAGATAAAGTTTCTAACTTCATGGATTTTTATCCTAAAGGACAGAAACAACAAAGAAAAGTAAGATTATCTGAGATAATGACAAGTACCCTGAAGAAAATCAAACAGGGTAATGTGACAGGGACTGGGAGAAGATTACTTGAGGTGGATGTTTGGGGGAGGCCTCTCTGAGTAGGTGACTTTTAAGCTAGGACCTGAGTGACAAGAAGTCAATTAAATTATCATCTGTGGGCAGCCAAGACATGGTAAACATACACATGAATCTAAGTGCTTTACAGTCCCCACATTGGGAACCACTGTCATAAGGGAAAGACTGAGGTCAGCTCTGGCTTCAAACTTAGTCCTTAGCTTGTTCAGTCCAGGCCATATGAGCCTGAAACATGCCTTTCCTGGTTCTAACTCATAGGCTTCAGTTTTCTGTCAGTAAAATGGGGCCAAGAGTCCAGATTTTAGGGTGCTGTAAGGGTTAATTGATGCCTATAACACTCTTTAAGATGTCTAGATGAAAAACCTAGGGCTGTATAGAGGGTTATTAGAGCCTCCCAAGCCTCAGGGAAAATCTCTCCCTATCAGTAATGTAGGTCTTCTCTTCTCCAGTCTGTAGATGTGGGAAAATGGTTTTCAAACTTTTGTGGGTATTAGAATCAAAGATTGTCATAATGTGGGATGCCTGGGTTGCTCGGTTGGTTGGGCTGCTGCCTTCGGCTCGGGTCATGATCCCAGAATCCTGGGATGGAGTCCCACATTGGGCTCCTTGCTCAGAGGGGAGCCTGCTTCTCTCTTTGCCTCTTCCTGCCACTCTGCCTGCTTGTGCTCTCTCTCTCTCTCTCTCTGACAAATAAATAAATAAATAAATAAATAAATAAATAAATAAATAAATAAAACCTTAAAAAAAAAAGATTGTCATAATGTGAATTCTTAGATTCTTGGCCTGAGGTTCTCATTTTCTCTGAGGTTCTGGGTTCTTATCTCCTTAGTTCTGTGTCCTTCTGTCTCTGTGTCCAGTGCCTCATGCTTCCCAAGATTTTTATCTTTGCAAATGGACCTAAGATGCACTTGTGCATATATACTATGGTCAGAGACAACTTTGGTCATTTTTCCTAAGAGCAACCCAGAGTAAAGACTGGGGAAGCCAGGAATGCGTCTGTATCGGCTTCTCAAATGTAGACAGACATCAGGAAGAGGATTTAGGGGAAAACTTTGAAAAAAAGAAGGGAGGAATTGCTGACTGGAAGAAAATGAGAGAAGAAGGTGAGTACAAGGAAAATAATCCTGGTGTGAGGGTCAGTTCACCACTTTTCCTAGTGCTGAATCCCACTATAGGGGCTGTCCAGGGCTTGACTGATCAATTTGTTAATTCATTCAATAGATAAATACAACTTAAATGTCTATTACATGCCAGGCAGTGTATATTATATTCCTATGTGTAGGAATTCAATGTGAAATAAGACAAGACCTCTGCTTTCCTGAAGTTTCCACTCTGGCAGGGGGAAACAGAAAATAAATAAATAAATAAATACAATGATATAAATATGACTATTTCAGACAGTGATAAGTGCAATTATACAGCATAATGCAATAAAGACGGAGGTTTTCGTGGGTGACTACCTTAGACTGGGGTTAATAAGGGCCTCTCTGTTGAAGGTAACATTTGAGCAGAAACCTGAATGACAAGAAT